TAAGCATGTCACAATAAGTTATAGTAATAAATAGTAAAAATGTGTAAGTATCTAGACTAATTTTAATGCTAAAAATATCAGTTTGGAGTATTATGTAAGGTGATGTAAATTTAGTTAGTGTACAGGAGATAAGTTACATGTAATTTCTACAAACTTTTGATTGTTTATGGCAATTTATTTTATTAAAATATATAAAAATGTTTGTGATTTTAAGTATAAATATATATATTTTTAAGCAGTTTCTTTTAATAATTTTATACTTGATTTAGATATAAGCAAAAATATTCAGTTTTGTCTCCTTAATTTCAAAAAGTATCATCAATTTAAAGTGCATCCTGATTGAAAACTGAATAGTAATAAGTGTTATCCTTGAAATTGTATATTTTTGGACATGTTTCAAGAATTTACATCACAGAAAAACTCACAAATTATTAGAATTTCTTGGAAGTTTACAGTCGTTTTCTAAGCATTAATAACGAATTTATTCCTGAAAATATTTACTGATTTCACCAAAATTCTGCTGGAGAATTTACTTCTTAGAGCTTCACTGAACTTCATGAGGTCATATTGCATGACTTCATGGCTTATTGAGAGCTAATTCTTGAGTTAAATTGCACCAAAGAAGGTCGAATTATAGAAAAATGTAACATTTTATAACTAGTTAAGGTCAAGCGATGCGTGGAACTTTCATTCTCTTACTTGCATCTCATCTCGCTTTACTTCCTGTACGACACTTGATTGAATAAATTGCTACTAACGTCCCATTCACTAGCGTAGAAAGAATCGCTTGGCAGCATGTCGCGAGACAATTTATCCAATTTTAAATTGTATTCGGGAATATTTCAGCAAAATATAACTTATAAATATATCATAGTTTACAGTTATATAAATATTTGTAGATAATTACTTTGTAATTTTCACGAAGTACGCTATTATATAAACTCATGCGATAACGCGCGTCGCTTCACCTTGAAAGTCGCGATTCGTTTCTAATACTTTTTTACGCTTGTATTTATTAATTAATATCTCAAATTAACTTAAACATCGTTGGATATTCTTCTAAGATCTATATATAATTATTATAGCGGTTTATTACTGTAATTATAATTTAATAAGTAAAAAAAAATGTCCGAAATCGCCACGCGATACTTAAATTCTCTGGGCTATAATGCCTTTTATAGTTGTTTTATTATGTTATTATATTACATACTCACTTTTAATGGCATCTCGGTATTTATTTGAGCTACTCATGCATTGTTTTGCAATTATAGACTTTGCTAAGTATATAATTAACAAAGGACAAATGTATTTTTAGATGCTTAAACTGTCTCATCTCTCCGTCGCAAAATAAAAAATCGCGTTTAAATTCTGTACATTTTTTAATACTCACAACTTCAATAGTTTGCGTACAAGATGAATATTTCATTTCACCACGATTTTAGGTATTATGAAACTAAATTTGTTTTTTCCTCTCGCTATCAGGATCTCGCGACGTCGCATGCGATGTTTTAAGTTTCTCGCGAAATCGCAAGACAGTTCCATTGTTTAATGTTCACTTATGTTGTGTAATATTCAATTGTAAAGCGAATAATTCATAAAATGAATGTTTTATTGAGTTAAATCGATGATAATGCAATTTATCTTGAGTTAAGATGCATTGGTGCAACTTAATGATTTTTCAATCATTATGTCAGCTGCATCAAGGTATTGAAACAAGCCGATTTATTACAGTTAAGGATCTGTATTAGTTATATTTAAAATTACGAGAAAAATGAAGAAATATCATTATCTAGTGCCTTTATAAATTGTATATTTATTAGTTATTTATTACTCCCTTCAGGCCATTTATAAAAATGTAAAATCGAGATAAAGGTAGACTTCCTGAAAAGTTTTTATCTATATTTTTAAATTTAAATACATCGTAAATCAGAATAAACTCCTTTTTATTTCTAATAGTTTATGGTGAAGATCACACTACACTAGTTAATGGTAATTAAGTATCAACGTTAATTTCTTAGGTTTAAACTTACAAGATTAACACTTTATGCTGCTTAAACACAAGATTAACACTTTAATTCGGCTCCACATTAATTAACGTTAATTAAATATTAGCATTAACTAGTGTGAAGGCGAATTAAAGTGTTAATATTGTGTTTAGCAGTGTCCAGCGAGTGTTAATATGCAGAATTCCTTGGCCCCTTTTTTCTGAATTCCTCGGATCTTGGGATTTTATATCATAGATTCTTAAATTAGTTGCTTTTATCCGTGATTTCTTTTTTAATATTTTGTGTACCTTGCTGTAAAATTAGCACCTCTAAACCATTGTTTACACGTGGCATTTTTCGACAGAATCATGTGATTTTCTAGGCATGTGATTCATTTAATATTTTTCAAGGTAACGTTTTTAAGTTGCAGACCGGACATCACATGAAAACTATTATTTCTGCTATTAAATCTCGTGACCGAACTGGTTTCTTCTGTATTGTAAACAGCCAGTTGTTACCATCGCCTTTGTATGGGGACCTTCAGAGAAGGTTGAATGAAACAACACCTTTTTTTTTTAATTAGTCAAAAGAGCATCAGGAATAAATCATTCCGCCATCTTATCCAAGTCTGACGTCTTCTTTTGCGTGCGCGAGACCTCATTTCTCTCCCCTGTACTTGTTACTACTGACCACAACAATAGAAACTGATAGTGTGTTGCTCCGTATTTTGGTCAAGTGCACTAACCTTTTTGGTTACAAACTCGTGTTTCGTCTATTTACGCAAGTTGACGGATACTTAACACCTCGCTACCTCAATACATTATAAGATTCGTGGGTGTATTTTGGCCAAATCTGCCCAAAAGGCATCGATTTTATTACGTTTTTACGTAAGATTTTTCCTTATCGAACGATAGTGAAAGCATCTCTGATTACTTTTTATTTTTATTATCGTTCGGTGAATTAAGGATAGTTTTTGGTAAATACGTCAAGAGATAAATCTCTTGACGTATTTGAACTTTACGATAATTGCGGGAAAGATGCCCACGAAAGGTTGAGACGTTAGAATATAATCGAGGAAGGGATCCCTTTAATAACGGGTAGTGAAGGGTTGTGCACATTAACACCAAAACTGGAAAACTGAGCTTTAATTCTGATCACGTGTTTATGAAAATGGCATATGGAACACGTGATAGCCCCATATTTTGAAAATTCCGACTTGAATTTCTTACAAAACGTGATTAAAGCGACCTTTAAGTCTTCTCGCATTTAACGAGGTCGAAGATTGAAAACGTTGTATTGTCCTAATTTTTAAAATATATCCTGTTACACTGACATACGTCTGTTCTTTGTAAAAAAAAAAAAACATAATAATAATAATAATAATAATAATCGGGCCATTTGGGTACGTTAAAGAAAAGAATAAATTATATAATTTATTTATAATATTAAATCGAAGCGATAAAAATATAAATGGCACGTGTACTTCGTAGCTGTCATTGGATTCTATGACGTCACTCACTTCCCGACCGGAAGTGACGCACTTTTTTTCAACGTCTGGAAGTACCGAGCTTGAATCTGTTTAATATATTCTCTTCCTATGCGGAGCTCTTAAGTGTAAGTCGTATTGTTTCTATATAGTGTCTTTAATTGTAGTGTGTGTATTCACGTGATATTTTTTGTCCTGTGACGGTTTAATCACCAGTATGTTACGGTTGTTTGTGTTAATTTATAGAACGAATCGGATGTTTATTAATAAGGCTCGTACGCGGAATTCGCCCGAAAATGGCGAGCTAAACGTATTTTTGTCAGTTGTGAGAGAACAAAGCGTTGTTTAGTAGTGATTTAAGAACTTTTAGTGTTAGAAACAAGTAAAATATTGTACAGAAATTAGAATAATTAATAAGTGAAAACGGTTTAATGGCCATTCTAAACTGTTAAGACAATTGAAGTTATCTTTGCGTGTCTCGTAATGTTTAAGACACTAAGAAAAAGCCCCCCGCCGTTGATTGAGAGAACAAAGGCGAGGTCACGAACGAGATTTGTAATGACTTAAATACGAAAACAAATGACTTGACAGAGAAGAAACAGAGCACCTTACTTAATTAATTAGGCATTAATCTGATCATTTCGTCATATTTTTAGGATTCTTTTTTTCCTTTGTTTCAGAGTTACCAACGTGTCGACAATTTTCTTGGAAATTTAGAAACGAATTGTAGAATTAAATACAGGTTTAGAAAGTAGAAACTGGAAATGACTCAACTCAGTTCTTAATTATTATTTTATTTGTTTTGTTTCTGTAATTTTTATAGACTGGGAATATGAAGATTCGAAAGATTTTTCTTTTGTAAAACCAAGAAACGAAATTAACTGTAATAACTTCACTCAAATATTGTAAAAATTAGAGATGGGCGGTAAATACGGGAACGGGTTTTTAACCTTAATAAATTATAAATAAATTAAAATGGGTTTTATTTACAATTTTTGTTTTAAATCTAAACCTTGTTTACAAATGGTTTTCGAAACAGATTTGGAAATTGTTTTAAGTCTATAAAAGGTTAGGAAAAAAATATTTAAGAATAAAATGTTAATGAATAAATGATTTCTTCGGTTTTTATTACCCTTTTTTTGTTGTGTCATATGACAGAAATTACCAATTAGTTTTATTTTATGATTAAAGAATTAGAAGTGTCGTTTTTCACGTGTTTAAGTTAACATAATATTTTAAGTTTTTGACATGTTTTAAAAGTTTAAAGATTACGTAGATTTTAATCTGCCTGTCTATATACACACAACGCAGCATAATACACTTACTACACAACATAAAACAACACGCGCAACATAATATAATACAACACGCGCAGTACAATGTGAAGAAAGAAATGTGTAATACGCTGTTTAAATGTTAAATCGGGCAGATCACCTGAGAAATCAATAAATAAGTTTTCTAAAATGTTAGAAATTTAAACAATAATAAATAAATAAAATGATGAATTATTTATGAAATTTATATTATGCATTGTTTAGAAAGGACAAAATAAACAATCGGAAAATCGATATTGCATAATTTTAAATGATTCAAAACAGGAACATAATCGGTTTAAACAAAAAAAAAACTTGCAAAAGTTTTTTTTCTACATGTTACTATATTGTCAGGTGTAATTTTTTTGTGTGTATGTATGTGCATGTGTTGTGTTGTGAAGTTTGGGCACAAACTTTAAAACTGCACCATGCAATTTTATCGATACTTTATTATTAGAATCTTCGTCGATGAATAAATGATATCAAATAAGGTCAGGATGTTATTACAAATCCAAGTGAACGTAAACCGATCTCGATTCAAAAATATATATATATTTATTTTCTCCTTCGAATATCGCGTATCAGCAATCTGATTGGCTGTATCGAAAATTAAGCTGTGTATATATGTGACACGCTGCATTCGGCTAATGTATAGTTGTCTTTAAACGGTTAGGATGTTGCATTTTTTCTCTTTCTTTACTTTTCTGATGTCGGGATAAGGTCTCGTTCGGGGTGGAACCGGTAACTTTCGATGCGTGTCTCCTTTGTGAGTCAGTATCACGAGACTCTATGTCCCACGACCTTCGTTAATGACAGGTACTCGCTGCTAGACCATATAACAACTGGATCGGCAATAATCACAGACACTCACTCGCAACACGCCGATGTGAAAACAGTCGAGGTAAGGATTTCTAATTGTGAAGTTTGGACTCTTTGTTGTGACGTTGTAAAGTTAGATAACTTAAATATTATTTAATCTCGGGTTATAAGTTTAATTACATTATTTCGGGTTCCTTTTCTGATTCGTTTGGCACCGAGCCAGCTTGGCTTCTGGTGTGATGTAACGCTCGGATCCTGTGTTACTTCAGATTTCTTTCGTGTGAACTTTGAGCCCGAGTGCGATCACGTAGCGAACTTTAAACGCGGAAAAAAATACTAACGGAGTTCTGCCGACCTAGTTTACTTACTAAATAAGCTGTGCAGAATGCATTTTTTGGCGTACGAAAACAATTAAAATTGCATTTTTTTAGTGAAAGTTAATACTAGTCAAATGCGGTGTTAGCGTTACTAATTACCGAGATTTTTCTCTTCACTTGACTGAATTAACGATGATAATTTAAGGAAGTAAATTGCACATCGATAGAAATTAACCGAATGCTAATTTAGATGCTTATAATTATAAATTAAAGTGTAAGGTTGAGTGTAAATTGAAGTTACGGGTGTAATTATAAATCGAATTGTATTCCTTCACGTTTTCCTCGTCTGAATTGTCTATTAAAAGCATTATTAGTATTTATTTATGTCGTAAACTATTTTTTATACGTGTATAAGTTACACTTGTTAAAATAATTGAGCTGCTAACGAGTTACACGATGAATGAATTCATGTTTCTTAGGCATATTCGTTCTGTTGGCTTGGAGCCAAGAAGGATCATGTTTGGGATTTTCCAGTGTCGAAAATGAGTCATATTCATGTGACCAGAATCATAATATTGCATGAGAATTTGCTCATTGGATAATATTTATTAATTACGAGTGAAATCAAATATAAAAGTGTAATTGGCATGAGAAGCGCGTATTGTATTTACTAAGTACTCGTATTGTATTTACTAAGTACTCGCTCTCTTAAATGTTATCTGAATGCAATTTCTGGTGTTCTTGCAGGTGCCTTAATTTATCAGCCGAATATCGATTAAATTGCCAGAAAGGTATTTTAAATTTTCATTATAATTTCATTAGAATTTGAATATTTATACACGTTTTTATGCCTTTTTTTTGTGTTTGTTAGATCATGAAGTTCGGGTGCACGGGGCAGTTAATGGCCAACTTTTATTCAAAGATGGGAGTGCTGATAGCTAGGCATCCCGGATATTTTATACTTATTCCTTTCCTATTATCCGGCCTTTTGTCTACCGGTATTAAGAGGTTTCATTACGAACAAGATCCCGAGTATCTATACACTCCCATAGCAGGAGAAGCGTGGGATGCACGCAACAGAGTGGAGAAACTTTTTCCACTTAACACTACCTCATCTTTCGATCCCGGAAGAACTACCAGGATTGGTAGAATAGGATGGGTGGTGATCGAAGCCAAAGACGGTGGAACCATGTTCCGAAAATCCATCCTTCGCCAGGTGTTTCAGGTTCATCGAACAATTCAAAATATAACGATAGAATGGGAAGGTAAATTGTTAAAGTACCGAAATCTGTGCGCTAGGAATCACGGTGATTGTTTCAGGAATGACATTTTGGTGGTAGGGAAAAGGATGAAGGCACTGGAGAAGGGCACGAGGAAGCTCCGATACCCTATCGAATTTAACTCTAAGACGTATAACTTTACTTTTTATGCTGCCAATTTGGGCGGTGTTACACTAGACCAAAACGGCTACGTTACGACGGCCAGGTCAATTAGGTTGATGTACTTTTTAGATTACAGCGATCCAATAAAAGAAAAGAAGGCATTATTGTGGGAAAATGCATTTTTGGACAAATTAGAAACTGCATATTACGAAGAAATCAAGATAGGAAGATACGTCTCGTTATCTTTAGAACAGGAATTGAACCGAACAGTTCTATCTCTCTTGCCAATGTACCTGACGGTTGTAGTGATTTTGGTAGTGTTTTCTGCTGTCACCTGCGCTACTACAGATTGGGTACGAAGCAAACCTTGGTCTGGGATATTAGGATTAATATCCACTGCAATAGGAGTGATTAGTGGTTTCGGCCTGATGATGTACTGTGGCGTATCTTGCATCGACATCAATGTTGCTGTGCCGTTTCTTATGGCAGGTGAGTTTATTTTCGTGTGTATTATGCATAAAGTTATGACGAAGACGTAAAATTGTCCCTTTTTTTATGCAACAGGTATAGGAATGGACGACACTTTTGTTATGCTTGCATCGTGGAGGAGGACGGATCGAAACAAGAGTGTGGAGGAACGACTTGCAGATGCCTATTCAGAAGCTGGAGTTTCTATCACTGTAACCTCCTTGACTAATTTCCTTTCTTTTCTAATTGGGATAAGCACCCCTTTTCCTTCTGTACGCATATTTTGCTCATATGCGGCCGTATGTGTTTTCTTTACGTACCTTTACCAAATTACTTTCTTTGGTGGAACAATGGCCATAAGTGGGTTTGCCGAAGAGAAACAACTGCACGCTGCCATATGCATCCCTCTAGGAAACTTTAAAACAGGTCAGCATATAATTCGCAGTTTTATATTTAAGTTTTGAAAATTGTTTTATAATTTTATTTTATTTTAGAAGGAAAAAATTGTTTGACGAAAATCTTGTGTAATTCGAACAGCGACAAAGACACCGTCGAAAGTAAGCACGAACACATGATAATGGTGTTCTTTCGCGATCGATTTGGGAAATTGCTAAGCTACACCTCCGTTAAAATTTTTGTGGTGCTGCTATTTGTTGGTAATCTTGGTATATCTTTCTGGGGTTGTACTCAGTTGGAGGAGGGAATCGAATTTATAAGACTTTTTCCTCTAGACTCGTATGCCATAACCTTCTTCACCATGTACAACAAGCATTTTAGCTATTACAAAGAAAGGATTCAAGTGATCGTCGACCAACCTCTCGACTATTCGGATCCGGAGATACAGTATCAGTTAGAAAACGCTTTGCAGAAGTTCGAAAGAAATCGTTACATATCAGACTCGAGCCTATCCGAATCTTGGTTGAGGTGGTACCTGAAATTCCTCAACGAGGCATCGTTCCTGGTGAAAGATTACGATGTCAAAACTAAGGAGGGCTTCATAAAAGGCTTAAAAGACGTATTTTTGAGGATACCCGCCACGGAACGATTTAAATCAGACGTACTCTTCAACGAGAACGGGACCGAAATTTTGGCCAGTCGGTTCTTCATCCAGACCAATTACACTGCGCACCCCAACGACGAGATCAACATGCTTTTAGAATTGAGGAAACTGGCCTCCGATCTGCCATTTAAAACATTCGTACAGCACTACATGTTCATATTCATCGATCAGTTTCTCATGGTGGGGAAGACCACGTTCCAGTCTATCAGCGTGGCAGCAGCCGTCATGATGGTGGTCTTCCTCTTCTTCATTCCAAGTATCAGCTGCTCCATCTGGACCGCCTTCACCATTATCTCCATAGAAATCGGTGTCATCGGTTATATGACTTTGTGGAACGTGAATCTCGACACTATTTCTATGATAAGTCTCATTATGTGTATTGGATTCTCTGTAGATTACGCGGCTCACGTTTCTTATTGTTTCATCACTTCGCCGAAATTGACAGGTGACGGGAAAATGCGTGATGCCCTGTACGCTGTCGGTTTCCCTGTTATACAGTGTGGCGTGTCCACCATTCTAGGAATCTCAGTACTGATTATTTCACCTTCCTACGTGTTCTTCACCTTTTTCAAGGTGGTATTTCTAGTTATAATCCTTGCCATGTTGCATAGCTTGTTCCTCTTGCCCGTTCTACTTTCGGTCTCGCACGACTGTTGGAGGAGGAGGAAGAGGGGTCCTTACGGTGACGAAAGCGACCTCGCCACAATATCAGCCACCAAAGAGCACGCGCTAACGTTACCGGAAGCGGAAGAATTGCTGAATAAAAAACTAGAAGCCAACGGTAACGTCGTTAAACTTAGTGATGCCAATTTAACAACGGTGTAGCTTCTAGGGTGACACTTATTTTCTTGTATATATCTAGTCTGTACCATAGTTTTTTAAAACAAAAACGGTGGCAGGACCACCGAGGGTGAATGAGGTATTCAGTGTTAAACATTTTGTGATATTCACCATAAATACGGTTGTTAAATTTATTAAACAGTTATTAAATATTCGTGTTTCCCCCTGTGTTTTGTGTGTAATGAAAGTAGAATTTTTAATATGCCACAGGATAAAAAGATCCAGGTCACATTTATTTATAATTATTGAGTATAAAAATGCTTAGTTGAAAAAATAATAAAATAAAATAGAATAATTTTAATTAAACAAGTTTCTAAAAATGATGATTCCTTGACACTATATTTTCGTGTTGTATTTTACTGGACCTGATGTTTCTTTATCTGATCTATTGTATTTTTGTTGTTGTTGTAATAAATATACCACCAATGTATTTAAAAAATTAAGTATAAAAAAAAATTATACTGGAGTAAATATCTCATCTAAATCTATATTTTTGTTGTTTATTAATGGCCGTTGTAACACAAACCTGTAAACAACGGCCAACGACGAGAACATAAAAAGATGGCGCCGTTGTTGGGGGTTCGAGCATACATAATTATTTTGGGGAGGGTGGTTATTTAAATGTAAATAGGACAAAACTATGTAATGAGGACTATATTCTGTCAGGAATGCTTATTATTCGAATTCTTGCCAATTGGAGTAGCCTTGTTTATTTTTTAGTCGAAGGTCTGTTTAAATATTAGACAAATACAGTATCTAACCTTGAAAACGTGTATAGTTTATACCCCAGAAAATGGAGTTTTTTAAAGATTGTAATTACTTTGCGAATAGTGTTAAAGTATCAATATTTAAAAGTATTAAATTCCTGATTTGAGCTTAAAACAAGTTGAACGGTTACAAAGACATTGACACCGTGGCATTGAACTTGCCGGTATCAGTTCTCTCTCCTTTTGTCGTCGTACTTCACTCTAGTTGAATGAACTTTGCCATGAAAAAATGGGCATTATTTGAAGAAAAGTAACTTAGAAATCATCTGGCTCAATTTAATCATTTTTGTCCATAATTTACTCCTTGAACGTTTAAAAGCGCATTAACACGAGGTATAGATGTATTTGCGAAAATGTATTTGGATTAATGAAATTTACTTTTAAAAAAATAAATAAATAAAGTTTAGTGTAAAAAAAGAGGTTATTCAAATTCAGTAGATAAAGGTCATTTCAAGTTTTCTAAGGCTAACAAATGACATTGGACGTGAAGAGCATTGGAATGGACTTCAGAAGAATCTGTCACTACTGTGTTGATGATAGATGAATGTGATTTTTTCGCTTTTTGTATTCTTCTCGCAGAAACAAATAATTGTCCTTGAGGCTTTTGGAGATTCCACTAAAATGCCCCGAAAGAACATTAAATTCATTATATTGAACAACAGGAAATAGGACGGCGCCCTTGCCACGCGTTGGAAATTTATTGCTGGAGGAAAGGCGCCATTGGCAGTTTAAGAAACCAGAAATTTAATTTCTATCATTATGACAAATGGAAACTAGTGCTTAGAATTTCCAGCTTGATTTGATTGGTCGGATTATTCTTCCATTGTTACGTGGGATCCGGTTCGGCACTCCTCTAGTATAATCGAATCTCCATCCTCGAGGCCATTGTATATATCATGATGAGGTCATCGCATGATGCAGCGAACATCTTCAATTTCCGCATCATCATATGTAAATATGAGGTTTTTCGACCCGGCCGGATCCTCAAGAGCACATACTAACACTTTAACCGTTATATATATATATCGTTATAATTTGCTTGTATTTTAATGTAGAACAGTGATTCTCAACATTTTTGAGCTAGTAGCGCGCGACATGTCAGGGTCGCATCGAAAATGATCTCATACTGGGTGACCATTCCTAGTCATCGCTGTCTAGAGCAATATTTATCAAATGCAGCTTAAATTTGGTATGGTGGCATTTCAGAAGATATTCCTTTTAGAACTTAATCCGTGTGAATTTTGGTTGGAGCATATTTAAAAATTGTGGTTTATTGATGGCATGTTGCAAATTCGCCAACCTTGAAAGATGACATCATAGAGAAACAATTACAGTTGGCTGTCAAAGACACTTCAGAATGGAGACCCCATTGAGTAGTACGCTTGTCGCTAACGTCTTGGTGCTGCAAGCAACAAATAAGATTTTGTTGCTTGCAGCACCAAGAGCTTTATTACTAAGACTTTTTACAAAAGTGTCCTTCGCGTGTCGTCTACCATACCAAATTTAATTGCGTTGGAGTGATAAATGTCTGTACACAAGTTTTGTGGCATCTCTAAGAGAAGTTCGCAACTCTCCAATTGAGAGCCAAGGTGGGTTTTCTTTTAAATTTTCTCGCTTTATGGGAACTAAGATGTAAGCCCATCGTAAGTTCGGTTGCAGGCCCACAATCGGGAGTAGGGTGGGGAGGAGTGGGCCCGACATATCTATGACAGATCACCAAGCTTAGAAGCTGTAATCATTTTTGAAAATACGTTACCGAAAACTTTTTCTGCTTAAAAACACGCATTTAATCACTCAATTATTATCTCTTTACATGTATTAAACTTATCAATTTTATGTATCTAAAATGTGCAAGTGTACCAGCTTTATGCAAATTATATTTAAGAAGCAAGGACACATCTTGCGAAGTGTCGAGAAATCATTCTAATTATTTATGTTTGTTCAGTTTTTGGTTTATGTAAATTACGCTACCAAACGTCACAGTTCGTTCGAAATTGATTGTTCTTGGAAATTCGAAAGTTCATCTAAAAATCTAAGAACTTGTCAAACAGGACGCGCAATTCTTTCTGTTAATAGGAATTACTCATTGTATTCAATATTTCTTGCCGCAGTTGAAATTCTAATGATGAATTCTTGTATGAGAGCCAATAATACATGACTCCAAGGATACAGAAACGTCTGAAAGACTGATTAATTATAATGAAATATTGAACTTTATATGCCGTATAGTTGCTCACAGTTGCACCTATTACTCGCAATGGGTCATTCAATATGCGTGACGGATAGGGTACGTCATTGCCCATGGGCAATGACGATTCGAATAATAATCGAGCCCAGTTTAAATCCTGATTTCCCACGCGATAGAGTCTTGCTGTGCGTGGGGAATCATGGTTTAAACTAGCCCCGAATATTATTCGAATATATCTGGGCCTAGTTTAAACCATGATTCTCTATGAAACCTGATTCGAAATTTTCGATTTTTGAATCAAGGTTTCAGATCCCGGTTAATGAATTTTCAGAGCTGAGTGGAAGCGGATTATTAGGTCCTTCTATCGTCATCCTCATACACTCGCTGTTTCCATGTGGGCATGAAGAATGGTTCAAATGGCAGAGGGTTGGAAAAATCATGAGATTCACTATATCGAGTTCGAATCCGGAAATTCAGCTCTTGATCATCCTGTTAACTCTTCTGAATGGATAATAGTAAAGGATGTTGCATGCGGATCCTCGAATTTTATAGAAAGTTCATGTCTGATTTCCATCATCCCACTCATTAGCGTAACCGGGGAGAGGCAGGGGACCCGGGCCTCATTTTTTAAATAAAATAAAAGAAATAAGTACAGGAAAAGATCTGAATGTAATAGTACCCAGTAGTACCCTGTACCCAGTGGCGCGTTATAGATTCATGGTCATCTAGGCAAATTTGAATTAGGGGGCTCCATGTACAGTACTGACCCCAGACTTTTTCTTCGAGCAAACTTTTGGGGGAAAATATTGTCTTATAAAAGATTAATTTTCGGCCCCCTGTTGGTGTGTGCCTCGGGCAACTGTCCTTAATGCTTATATGATAACGCGCCACTGATAATATTTGAGTTTACTCTTCCGTTTAGGCAGGTTTCCGTTTTATGTGGGTTCCATTTTGAATGGATTTTACTATAATAGTGCTGACCTAAATACAGTAAACCTATCCAAAACGGGAAAAGTTCTCCGGATTGGAATGATTTTCTATGTTTAAAAAAACCTGTTTATAACGGAAACCAGCCAAACCGGAAAAGCAATATTCGATACCGTGCGATTCCGGTTTACACAGGTTTTTACTGTATATTAATTAAAAATATTTTAAAGAAAAACATAATATATGAATTCGTATTATCCGTGAAGTTGACTACACTTTTTTGTCCTATATATAGTAAATTTTATAATCAACATAACATCAACAATAACAATTGTACATTTCATGTATGATTTATGGGTCATTGCGTGACATTCATTACTTTCCCTTTCGTCTTCATGCGTGCGTAAGAAACATCACTAACACAAGCACTTAATGCCATAGGAATTCATTGTGTTAAAGCTTTCACGATATGAAAGATGGGAGTTTACTAAACCTTGAAACTTGCTATTACTGCTCATGACCTCATCTGAATGCAGCAGGTTACCATTTTTTTGGTTAACAGCTGTTGTCCTTAAGCTACTGTAAATCTGATGTTTATCTCATACCCTTTTAGCATGTAAATTTTATCATGTACAACTGTGAAAGTGTTCGTGCGAGTAAAAGATACATCAAGAACACATTTCAGTCGAGTGTACTTCGTGTACTCTTTTTTTATTTACGTGAACACTTTCGGAATTCGGAAACAATGTTTTAAATTATTATTTCTTTGTTAAAGTGCCCTTGGGGACATCGAATTTCTATCACGTTGGGTGTGCAGCCATTAGGCTATATTAAACTTGGAAATATTTAGGTCTTTATAATCTGGGATTATCAGGATCAGGGTCAGCCCTCGGGGCTTTATTTGTATTTTTGAATTTCTCGGCTGTTCGTGGAGTTTTGCTGCAATATATGTTTTTTTTTGTTCTTTTTTTGTTATTCCTCTAATAGCTGCGTGTGCCTGGCGTTGCTCGGGCTTTAAGGAGGAATTGGTGAGATCCCGTTGGGAGAAAGGGATAAAAACAATGGTCTTGGTTATTAAAATCCGCATTTATTGACTTGAGTATAATGAATTTACATTGTTATGTTAACGCTTGTTTGGGGTGAAGAGGAAGTAGAGAACTTCATAGCATATTTTACTTTTCCGGCTTTTATATATCACAGAGGGAAAGTATGGCAATCGGTCAATAAATGACAACCGAAGATTTTTACACTTTTGGGCTCAGGACACCTTGAAACTTCGAGAAATTAAAAAATGTTCGGATTTTTTTTCTGTATGTATGGAGGTGGCACAATTTTGTTCATCATCTTTGAAGCTTAATAACTCCCGTCCTTTTTGTCGAAAATTTCTGAAATTTTGCAGGAAGATTGGTGTATTAGGGAGGTCGACGCTATTAAATTTTGGTGATTAAAGGTCTAAGGGGTGGTAAGATAAAGTGGTGTGTATCTCCAGTAAAATTGGGTTTAATTAATAACGATTTTATTCGTTATTAGCATTTACAATTTTTTTTAATAAAACCCATCCCTATCCTGAAAATTAAGCTTTTTGACATTTTATAATACTGTAGTTAAAAATATAAAAAGCTTTTTAATAAAATATGATAACAGATGGCGCCATCAAATGTTGTCGGGAAAGTTAAGCAACTCGTTACTGGAATTTTTTTCTAGGGTGTCGAAGAATAT